TCATAATTTAGAGGGCGCAGGTGGAAGTCTACTAAAGTTGTAGTAGAAGCTATGCGATCTTTTTTCTTTGGCGATAAAATTTTTTCTTACCAGTGAATGGCGTGCATAAGACTCAATAATAATGTGTGCACTTTGTCTATGCACGTCTTCTTTTAGATTCAGCGGCGAGTAGATTTTATTTCTCTCTTCAATGCATCCCGAATCTTCTGTTTGCATGTTTCTTCGATATCTCGAACGAAGAAACGAGAAGAGAGAAAGAGAGATGAAACCTTAAAGTTACCGCAAGTGCTTTGTTTTTATTCTCACAGCGATAAAAAACACTGCATTTGTGCGACATCAGAATGTTGATATTAGAAAAAGAATTTCTATTGCAAAAAGACAACTGTGTAGTTAACGAGAAAAAAAAATTCTCTTTTTCACCCACCTACATTGTCAAACCGGTTTTCGCTGTCTTTGAAAACTTCAAGACATTTAGTATCGGTGTACGAACATTGTAGATTCATTGTAATCGACCTATTGAGAACTAGAAGGAAAGGGACAGACTGGTTTTATGGTACTGTCAATGCAATCTTTCTCATATAAATTTAGATTCATTGAGAGAAGTGTTGATATAATTAGAATATAAAATCACTATATCTCAGCCAGTTGAAATTCAAAGTTTTTAAGAACTGTAGACTTTGGACTTCAGTACAGTTCAAGCTCGTATGAGTGACATCAATTAGACTGTTCCTGTGAAAGGTACTGCTAGTATTGTAGAGTTACTATAAAAAGAATTTGAGAAGAAAGACTGAAAATTTTGAGTCCTTTCTACTATCGTTTTCGAAATAGGAGAAACCGTCAATAAGAGCGAAATGTTGCCATAATGCATGCAACGTGAAGTCTTCTCGATCTTGTTTTCGAGAGACCAATGTGACAAAATTAAGCGTATCGATGAAGACAGGTTTGAGAATTCAATCATCAAAAGACTTCGAAGAGTTTTCTGTGAAACGTTGGGCAGTGAGGCCACTTTTGAGGAATGACAATTTCAGTCAAAAATATCCAATCAGAAGAATCTGCTAGACTTATTTTGAATTAGGGACAGTTACAAATCAATATCCACCTATTCTTAGCATGGTGAGACGTCATATACGCGAGCTGAAAATGTATGTCTAAGAACATCGCGTATCAAGGCAAGCAAAAGGACACTGGGCTACAGTCTCGATTACGGTTTTTGAAGTCTCGTCATGCTAATAATACTTAAATATAGATAGTTCGATACTGTTTAGAACGTTACATACATAAGAAGCTCGAACGAACGACTTCAAACTAGACTACTTGTGTCAAGCTAGATTATCTCGAGGTTTTGGTTTTTGAACTTTAACTGGTCCCCAATAAATGTAGTAGTTTTCTCAGATACTGTAGTTTTGCATGCAATTTTTATTCTTATAAAATAGAAACTATTAAAAAGCGTTGGGCAGCGTCCAACATCTTCATTACTAGAAGTTTGTGAGAAAACTCATCAAACTCGTCTGAAGATCGAATTCGAAAACCTATCTCTGTCAATACATCGCCATTGACTATTACTTCTATGTCGACTTGAATAGTATTAGTTTTTCATAAGCAATAGACTGCCGTTTATTTTGCATGTGAGTCCTGAGATCATAAGATAGGTTTAGTGCGTGGGACGGTCGGCAAAATTTAAGATCTCTACACAATGACAGATCTTCGAGCTTCTGACGGATATTAAGAAACCCCTAAAGTTTTCTGTTTCTTAAGTCAAAGGTGGACAATGAAAGAACTCTTGGACTGAGATTTTTAGGAATGAGTGATTCTAGTGAGAAATGCGTCTGGTAAAAATTTCAGCTTAATGTATCGAACTATCGCGAACTTCTGGCTTTTGATGGTCTTTAGAAGAATCGTTATTACAAGAGATACAGAGCTCGGGATGGCTTCAAGTTAAAGTTAATACCATTGCACAATTATTATCCAAATAGAATTTTGAAATTTTCTTCTATTCATTTTGTATGATCAATATTGGTACATATAGAGTTAAAATAAATAAAACAAAAATATCCTTTTACGACATTAAATCTCGGTATTTTCAACGCCGAAATCAACTATAAAAAAAATCTGATTCGACAAAGATTTACTCTCATTTAGACCTTTCAAAAAAATATTGGTTATATCTTGAACTCGATGAGTGTTATTTCAGCTTTTCTAATTGAAAATCATGTTCCAAGAAAAATGGTACATAAGTTTAGATGCGAACCAGAGAAAATAGCGTATTATGATGGTATGTTCATAATATAATTAAGTCGAGATTTTAGGTTACAAGGATTTCAGTCAGGTTCGAGATTCTGGTGAGCTTCCCAAGTCGAGGCAAACGGAACGAAAACGAGTCCGAAACTGATGAAGACGTGTGAAAAATTGAAGAGAATCCAGAAAAAAGTCATGAACGCGCTGTGGATCAGTTTCGAATACGATTTGGTTTCATTTGTCTTGACCTAGGTTTCGACCCGTGCCTAAATTGACTTTATTTACCTCTAGAAAAAGCTGTATTTCTTTAATTGGTTGCTACATTCCGTAATACTGAGCAAGACGAGATAATATTTAGAGTGTGGGTCTCTTCTCCATCCACAGTAGAAATCACATCCTCATTCACTCCTACGTCCTGGCGCTACATCATCTTGCTCAACACTACGGAGTGTAGTTGATAATTAAAGAAATAAGGCTTTTTATAGGGGTCAATTTAAGTTCGAGGAAAAATTCTGATCTTCTAAAATTTTTTAAAGTATACCGCAGATGACGCAACCTAACATCCTTTGTCGTCCTTAAAATATATATGAATATTTATTCAAAGCTAATGCAAGTAAAAATGTAATCTTCCTAAAACTAGAAGAAAACCGCGAAAATTTTTTGGAAAACGGAAAATTTGCTAAATTTCCAAAAATTCGTATATATACCGCGAAAGGAAATTTCGCTACATCTTCTGATGATAAAAATTCAACTTCAACTTTTCTTTTAAAAAAAAGAGGATTTTCTGAGACACGAGAGAGCCTTAATATCGATAGAGTTCAATCCAAAATCTTGTAGGGAGGAGCTTAGACATGTGTAATTTTGTAGAAAATTACTTGCTCGATTTTGGGAATGTTGTGATGATTTCATTCCCCTCGAATTCTTGTTCGAAACAATTTTCTTCATTCAAATCATTATTTGGATTCACCATACAAGTTACTATTACGGAAAATTAAACCTGTACGATCAATTTTTTGAAGCCACTATTAAATAATACATTTAGGTCTGTTTAGATAAAACTCGAGTTACATCTATTCGAATTATATTTATGACAGAAGGTAGATAAGTTTGTTTCTTTTTCTTTTTTTTAATTATTAAATAAAATTTGATTATTTAAAATATTCTTTTATGACAACTTCAAACCGATTCGCCTTCATCCGATTATGATATATTTGTTATGGATGAAGTATATGAACATCATTTATTTACTGATTTTATATTAGGTATTATAAATGTTTAATAACTCAATGAAAAGATCTCAAAGTTTTTCCCATGTCTGCAATAATTAATATTGATCTATTTTCAAATATTTCGATAATTATTCTGTTGTTAAAGTAAGATTTTATAAATTGGACAAAATAAAACTCTAATAAATGTATTAAAAATCGGAATTACTAAGAAACTAATGATCTTTATGAATAAATGATAATTTAAAAAGTTAACCCAACAATAGTATGAACATTTAATTTCACATCATTTATTATTATCAATTTTTGAATTCTTAGCAATCAATTGAAGGATGAACCTTGTAGATAAGATAAAGTGACTAGTTGATTTATTATAAAAATACAGACTTTATCTTTTATTGATCATCTATTTTATTGTTTAAATCTTTGATATAGCACCTGAATTTGTACGTAAATGTGTTATAGCAACAAATATAGCTGAGACATCAATAACAATTGATGGTGTACCTTTTATCATCTATTCAGAAGAAGTTAAAGAAATGTCATATGATGGAAAATGTAAAATGCAACGTTTGCAAGAATTTAAAATAAGATGTACAAATGCTGAACAACTTAAAGGTCGTGCTAGACGTACAGGACCTGACATTTGTTATTGTTTATATAGTGAACATGATTATTTAAGTTTTCAAGAATATTCAACACCAGAAATTCGTCGTGTATCATTTGATTCATCTATATTAAAAATGATTTCTATGGTTTTAAACGATTCAAGAAAGTAAATTTAAAAATAAAGTTTTCCTTTTTGTGAAATATGATCTAACAGAAGTATTGAATTATGTAGGATAGAAATTCGCACCCTTCCTTCCCCAAAGACAGTGGCAGAGGTTGTTGATGTAATATGAAAGATTGTAAATGAATTTGAAGAAATGTGTCCCGAAATACATCGAATAAAACAATCTCATTGTGATTCAACAGCTAGATCGTATTTTAGATTTCCATTTTAATTCCTTCTGGATTATGCCAATAACTTTTTCAAATAGATTTCCATTTGTTGAACCACCAGATATGGCAGCTATTGATAGTGCTTTATTTCGTCTTCAAGAACAAGTAGTTTTATCAACAATTGATTGTTTATTAACATCAATTGGCTCAATACTTGCTCGACTTCCTGGTGATGTTTCTATTGGAAAAACGTTTATATATACTTGCATTTTTCAAGTAAGAAAAACAAAAGTCAAAAACAAAATAAAATCTAATTGATTTATTTAGTATGTTAATCTAGTATTAATAATGGCATCGACATTAAGTATTCAATCACCATTTCTTAGTTTTCTTCAATTTAATCCTGATACGATAACACGTCGTCGTTCAATATTGTCGAATCATCATGATTCATTTGCATTATTAAATCTTTTTGATAAAAAGATTTATGTATGAAGAGATTTTCATTTTAACTGTGTTTTTTTTATTTGTTTGGATTATAGGTAAAAGCTGAAGGGCCAAATACTCGTACTTGATGCAAACGACATAGCGTTGAAGAACAACGTCTGTATGATATTACAAAACTTCATCGATAATTTCTAGAGATTCTTCGATTGTGAGAAGATTGAATTTTTTTTACCAGTAAATGAAATTTTCGAGCACTATGCATAGAGATTTGAAAAATCACTTTTTTTTTCGTTTTCGATTCTGATTAAAAGTTTGTATACCTTCTAATGCTAAGTTTTCAGATTTATTCTCGTTTATGTAAAACCAAAACAAAAACCTATACAAGTCATCGAAACACATCGATTCTTGAAATCAGTGAAAGACTTTTATCGGAAGTGTAAATAAAAATGGCTGTTTCACACATTCTTAGTTACAACAAAATAATAGGCATGAAAATATAGTCTAGTTCTTTGTAAAAAAAAATGCATCGGGGTCAGTTTGAAAAGGTATAAGGGTGGGTGTGGGTGTTGTGGTATATCAACAATGCCCGCACACTCTTCATGTTCATCATGTCGACATCCATCGATAAAGAGAGATGCTTTCCTTCTTATCCCATCGGATATAATAATTCGATCATAGAAAAATCTATCAAGCATCATCTTAGAAAAGAAAAAAAGTTAGATTCGAATTTAGTCAATAATTCAATATAGCAAGACGTAATCGTTGCTAGAGTACTTA